GCAAGTCAAGTGGTAGGTAGATTCAAAGAATATGAAGAGTCTTCAGCAAAGTTCAACAATAGCGTCCCAGGAGTGCGAATGCAAGCGTGACCTTCAGCTTACTAATCATAAAAATGAGGAATGTTTGCTCAAAAAATGATGTATATTGACAAGAAAAAGCTTGAAAACACATTGAACAGGTTGTCTTTCCTTAGATTACTTAAAAATACGTCCTAATTAGGTCGAGGATTATCATCTGCTAAGTCACACTAGTTTCTGCACATGCATTCACCTGGATGACTACAGATAAACTGTTTTTGTGAATTGTTTATCTCGCTCATCCTGCTTGCAGTCTTCCGAAAGAGCCCTCGGCTGAATTGTTGTGGTTTCCAACAAGAGGATAGATGATTACTTACCAGGAAAACATGCATAATAAAACAAATGGCATCAACTGTAAATCTATCTCTTATCGTAACCCTAACCTTAATCCTAAGCCTAACGAGCTATTAACACATTGTCTAAACATTGCCTAAAAACGTGATTGGGTGAAATTTACTGCTAAACTGGTGAATAGCGTTGATATTTCAGCTATGATAATGACAGATGCCATCAGCCAACGACTAGCATGCGTTCAAGGTCATTGGAGCGTTCAGACTCCTGGGACGCTATTGTTGAACTGCTACGAGTCTTTGTAAAAATTTAAGATTTTACTTGAATGCATTAGAGCAATGATGAATAGCATAAATTATTATACTAAACAATAAAAGCAGCTGAAAACAACTGCCAACTTGCTCGAAAATAAAGGTTTTCTAATGAACAGCGGTAGAGTGCTCGCTAACCACGCAGGTAGTTCGGCATTCTATCCCGGCCGACGCACTCTTTCAACTTCTAAGTAAGGAATAAGTCTGGTAAAGGGGGAATGTTGGCGTGAGGCTAACAAAATAAAAATAAAATACCACTGCTGAAAATAAATACCACTGCTACCAAAAATTCAAAGCTGTAGCTTCAAGCCCTATGTTCCACTGAGAACGTAAAGGAGCTTAAAAAAATCAACAAACAAATATCCTTATATTAAGAACTAGCCTCTTTTGGTGTACTAAAAATGGCCTTATTCATTGAGATATTTAGTTCAAATTACTCTCAATGTGCGCAACTATGTGAATAAGCTGGTTATGCTATTAGTTCTCATTTCACAAATAAGGGAAAATTAATTACAGCCTGAATGTAGAATTTTATAGAAATTTACTGTAGCTATTTTAGAAATTTATTCTTCCAGCTGATAGTCACTGGTCATTGTTCTTGTTGTTTGATTATCTTTATTAGCTTTATTTACCCTGTGTACACTTGAATTCCTATCTTTGCTGCCTGTATCTTCATCCAATTTTCGGTGTTCACCTGTTGATCTGCAAGTTTGTGTGAAATTACACATGAAGTCTTCTTATGGTCCAGCGTATTCCAGTCCTCCACAGTCACAATTATCGTCTGTGATAGTAGTCAGCCTCATCTTACGCATGTCTTCACTTAAAAGACTAGACGTTGTGGATCACTCGATACATGGCACTGTCAAAGAGCTTTTGAATGAAATTGATAAGGATTTGGGGCATTCATAGTGTTGAAGTAGTTTCCAAATTACTTCGCGGTCAACTCTGTTGAAAGCCTCTTCAAAGTCGGACTTGATGTAGAGATTCGAGTGAAGTTCTATGCTGTGTTTTGATGATGATGCATAGAGTTGCAGTTTGATCCGTATATGATACAGCATATATAAACACTTGTTGCATTAAGTATTTGTTACTAGGATATAAACATTTCACGAAACTATAATTAAGTCAATAAATCGTACATAGACAAAGTTGTTTCCTATCCAAAATATTTGGTGGCCACATTGCAAAACTGACTCATAAAATTCAGTCTGCACCAAAGAAAGGACTAGACACGTCACACTAGTGACTAGTGTCCAATGAAAATACCACTACAGTCCTACAGGAGGTCGATCGCGAGCTCGAATAACTCAGTGGCAACATCTCTGACTGCAGCACTGGGTGACACGGGTTCGAATCTCAGAAGGGAAATGAGTTCCTTCAAGGTTGCAGATACGCCTTCCTGACTGACGAGTATCAACTAGCAGGAAACCTAGGTCAAGGCTTCCTGTCGATTGCCTCCAGGTATCCAATATCATCGAATCAATGTGCACCGTGATGGTAAATTACCTAGAATGGTGGCCACATTGCAAAACGTGACTGACAGAATTCATTTTGCACCAAAAGAAAGGACTAGACATGTCACACTAGTGACTAGTGTTCTATGAAAACGTTTCAGTCAGCTGTATATTGTTGAACTCATGTTGACTTTCGTTAGTGTGTAGGCATAGCATACTTCTAAAGTATGTAATCTGTCACTTGAATACCATCGGTCTGAGTTAAGTGATAACATTGCTAAGCAACTTTAGTGCAAATCTTTCAGGTATTTTTTAGAGTAAACAGTAGGCAGAAATGTAAGTGTTAATTCCTCAATAGATTACTGTTATACTATTTTTAAAATTTTAGCACGTTTATAGGCTTATCAACGTCAAATGTCAGTTTATAACATATTTGTAAACATGGTATGTCTGGTCAGAGGTATTTTTAAAAGTCTCTATGCAAACAGGAAACGGATGTTGGATGTATATATATATATATATATATATGTAAGATTTCTGATGGAAGTCAACAGTGTTTTTCTCCTAGATTAATACACTGACAATCTATGTATAAACTATTTTCTAAATCTTAAGCGAAATTTTTTAATGCCTTCCTTCATGTTAGTATAATCGATTCATATATGTCATATCTTATCTAAGCAAACATTAAACAGTACTCAGTTTGTATGTGCTTTTTGTTTGGTTGAAGGAGCATTTGTAATGCGTGACTTATCATTGCTTTATCTGTATGATTGTATGAAGAGTAAACCACCATTTATCCAATATACTCTGTTGGTTCAAGATCAAACAGAAGGTCTAGAGAAAAAAGCAGAATTCAGTCGAACAGTTATATGATAGTCTTTTTCAAACACTGTCCACTCGCTAACAAGCTCTTTGAAAGCTCTTTTCAAATATTTCTTAGTAAAAAGAATTAGCCTAACTAAACGGAATCAAGAGTTAGAAGAATTGATCCCGAACAGGCAGTAATGGAATAAATGTAAATCTTGACGTAATTACATCGAAAGAGAGATTTTCAATTGAATCTGTATGCCTCAATCCTTAAGTCTATTTAGGTACGTATATAGAAAGTTAATCATACCGTTCTACTTTATTCCGAAAAGATTATCAACAGCTTCCTTGAATCTAGTTGGCTACATATCGTGAGACTAATTTAAAGAAAGTTAAAAAAGTCTCAGCTTCTTTGAAGACATTTTATAGGAACTCTGAGTATTCCAGGATTTCGGTACTTAGATCTCACCTTTATGAATATTACACCAATATTATTCACACTGCCTTGTGGATCCACCCAACATTAGTATTCGGACCACAGGATTTGCAATGATTTTGGACTGATTAAAACAGTCAGATTTATTGCACAAACTTCGTATTCTTAAGGTCTAAGGTTCGGTCCCAGGAGGGGTTGTGGATGTGTACTTCTAGAATTGGTCTGAACAGCTGTTCAGTGCTCCTTGGTTTTCACTCGCCTATCTAAAAGATGTTGGCGCGTGACGAAATATTTAACAGTTGTACCCAAAGTTAGTAGCCTTAGGGCCTCGAGCTCGGACAGTTATGCATTCTGTAACGGAGAAATTCACGATTGTGAACATATTTGAAAGATACTATTGTAGTCTTGGGACTTATTTAGGTTAGACCAGCTGCGTGTCTTTCACGTTTATCTCATTTATTGGTTTTGTTTCCCCTTAACTTCACATAAATATTGAAAAGAATTTTAAGAGAAACTACTTTCTATGTTTGATATTTAAATTTGCATACCATCAAATTGAAAATACTTTCTTACACTTTTATGTTTATGGCAATGATGTTAGTGATCTGATTCCCTGAAAACATCATTAACCAATATGTGGTTGGTAAAATTTACCTTTCAAGATATCATTATATCATCACAATTTTTCAGGATTTTTTCCATATATCACAACTGATACCCGTTCAAAGCTATCGTTAAGATAAAACAATTTAGCAGTTTTGATAAACCAGTAAAAAAATGAAAGAATCAGAAAGCACTGAAGTAAAATATCGGAAAGACTAGGATATATATATATATATATATATATATATAGATCTATCAAGCTTCTTGTCCTGTGAAATTTTACTTTGGTCAGTACAAAGCTGTTTTTTTAAAAGTTTGATTTTATTCAAAAAGCCAGACTGATAAAAGGGAGTTCAAGATATTGGGGTGCGTATTTAAATTGACTAATACGTTATTAAACAATAAAATAATTAAAGTTCAGAGTAATCGTTGGTAAGATTTCCTCTTTGATTAATATGAAATCAATCTATCACTATAAACCTCTAGATAAATGAAGACGTAAGTCCTACAAATGACAGACCATTCTTCTTTAGTACTTTTAAGAGTTTGATGATATTAGATGGTTGGAGGCAGTCGGCAGGAAGCCTTAAACCTAGGTTCCTTGCTAGTTGGCACTCGATTGCGATTTCCTCCACCCATCTAATATCACCAAATCAATGTGAAGCGTGATAGCGTTTGCCTAGAATGGTGGCCACATTTAATTCAGTCTGCACCAAAGAAAGGACTAGACACATCACTTAGTTGATAATGTCCATTCAATAACTTTTAAAGTGCCTTTATTCCGTTTATATAGGTTTTCTTTGTACATTAATCCTGTGAGATAGTCATAAGGGGAGCACTACGCAGAATAATGTAGAAATATAAGCTTTACTATAAGAAAAGCAGATTCCTTCAGTAAAATTTACGTGATTTGACATTTAATCTGTTGAGAGAAAATAAGTGAAAAAGGGAAAATTTCAGATCTGTATATATTTAGATATTCTCAACAGCATACTAAAAATTCAAAGAAAATGAAACTCACGTTTTACATATACAGTAACACTTGTCTGATGAGCAGTACCCACTGGATGTCCTGTTTCACAAACAAGTTTAGCAGCATGATATCTTCGACTGATTCGTTGAATAGTTAATGTATTCACAAGCTGATCTTTTTCTTTAGTCAGTGAATAATGTAATGGTTGAACATCTTCAGAAATCAAATCTCCCGGTCTTAACTGACTTGCCTGCTCTGGAGTTAATGGATTTCGTGGTAATCCACCAGCATCTAAACTGCGTAAATAAGCATCAACTGAAGTGTAATCACTTAGTCTAGCACCACCTTTCCCTCCAATACCACTAATCCTTTGAATCTCATCATCATCAACTTGACTAGGTTGAACTAACCATCTCCAAAATAGTCCACCTAATGGTTTTCCAGGCGGTGAAGTAATACAAATTGCACGTAATTCTTCACCTTCTATGAAGACGTGATTTGTTTCAGGAGTGATGATTTTTGGAGGACCTGGAGGAGCTGTGAAAAGAGGAGAAATATTACCTCAGCATTAATTGTTTATACGGTCGATATTCGGTTATAAGCGGATTCATAGTTCATAAATATCATATCCTTCTAGAGAATATTCTATTGATTTTAGATGAAAAAGAAGTGTTGAAAAACAATTTATGATTTACTTAAAATCCAGAAAAAAACGCACTAATAAAAAGCTTCTACTTTGTTGTATGATAAATAACCAGCCAAAAAACAAACAAACAAGAGAGGGAGGATAAAATTGACTAGACAAATAAATAAAACTTTATTTTGGGTGTAAATAAACTACTTCATAGATGAGCTTCTAAGGTTTATGATAAACAACCCATATAAAGTAAGTAAGAGGATGAAAATAAATTAATTACACATATAAAACATATTAAATATAAACAAATATTCTGGGTGATAAATAAAAGTAACGGTGAGTAGATGATTTTTCGATAGTTCCCTTTTTTTTGCTTTCCTTTTGAACACAATCACTTCTTCTTCATACACGATTATTATTATTATTATTTTTGTTAATATCTCCACTGTCTGCTTCTTATTTATTCTCGTTTCTTTTCAACTGTATGATGAAAAATGGAGAAAAGGATGCAAAAGGTCACTGTGAAGTGGTGTTAACAAAAGTCTTTTAAGAAAGCTGATAGTTTGTGTTTAAGGAATGTTTATTGGGAATGAGTTAAAAAGAGATTCTAAGAGAACACGTCATCACTTCACTAAGGTGTTATTTGAAAGAAGTCATCATTTTCCATAATGGACTTCATAATGTTTAACTGCTTAATACTGCTAGGTTTATTATTATTATTAGATTTCATGCGACTGTTAATGGCCAATTGAGATTTATTCAGAAAAGTTAACCAGTTTAAGTGGTTGTGTTTTTTATTCGTTTATGTTCGGAGTGGAACATAGGGCTTGTAGTTAGAGCTTTGAAGTTTCGGTAGCGGTGGCGTTATTCTCTTTTATGCTGTGGGGTTGTTAGCCTTATACCCAACCTTCCCTCTAAGCTAGCCTTATTACCGGCTGAGTGGGGAAAAGTAGTGTGTTGGCCCTGGTTGGCCAGCTTTCTACAGCTGAACCAATCAATGCAAAAACCAATCGTATGTTCTAGTAGAAGACTGTCACTATGTAAGGCCTAACTTATTAAGCTCGAGGTACTATGGGCACTCTAATTCCCTATAATACTTACACCAGGAATAGGCGAATAAGCAGCCATCATTGTTTTAACCTGTAGGCTTGTAGGTAAATAAGTACCTTTCAGATAAACATACTGGTCGACGTAAGCGTTTTGAAATTCAAATGGATTTATGAATGTACTTTCCTTCTATTACAACTGTTCGTCCACGTTCATCAGTAAGCTTCAATATAAGATATACTTTCAGTACATTAGCAATGGATGAAACAGTTATTATCATCCGTCTTTGATATATCTGACTTGGGATGTTTTGCGGCTACATTTGACACACTGAATGACAGTAAATGTCTTTTCAAGAGGATTTGGGACAGAATGAACCAACATCTAAGGAAAAACAAGACATCTTAATCTTATTTGTAAACTGTTATTATTCCTTTGTGTCACGAGTGAAACACAAAGATTTAGCAGCACATTACCATTATACTTGCTCCTGGCAGTCTTTTAAGGCTGACCTCAACATTGCCGATAGGATGTGATTTCATTCTCACATGCTCTCCTCTGTATCATCTTTGAACTCCCAACTCATCTTTTCCTATTCGGGCCTGGCAAATGATGTCACTCAACGGTCTTCTCAGCGTATGTTCAGTTCATTTGCATCTGTTTCTGCACAACAGTTGACTGTTAGATTCTTTCTTGGTTCGTTGTCAGAATTCCTTGCACTTCATCTTCTCTAGTCATCTGATCTTCAGCATGGAACCAGAGAAGACAACTGTTGATAAACGTTTGATGTAATCTGTTTGAAATGCTATTTGTGACGCGCACACCATGTGTCTAATCCATTCAGGAGCAATGAAATGACATTAGTATTGAAGATTCGAATCTTGTTACACATGCTGAGTGCAGCAGATTTATAAGGGTCTTGCCTTTTCAATCATGGATGGCTTTCACATACTCATCCGTACCGCCTGTAGCTAAAACAATGATGCCTAGTTAAGTGGAAGAGATAAATTTCTTCGAGTTTCTCTCAATAGTGGTGACAAACCTTGTTGTTCTTTGTTATCAATGTTACTTAGTCTCAGGGAATATCGTGCTAATCATTGTATGTGAATGCAAAGATGTGAGCATTATTTTAACTTTTATACCGTGCAGATGAATTTTTATAGGATAATAATCATTAAGTGCCCTTAAAAGTCTAGTATTTCCTCTTTGTATGATAGATGCATTACTAACTAATCCTCTTGTATCGATCTGTTGTACTTGTTTTCAAAGACCCTATTAACCTAATAGTATAATGAAGAGAGGAGAAAGAGTTTAACTTCTATTCACAAAAATAACTGAAGCAAGAGTATCTTAATAAAATGAAATGAAATACTACAAAAGCTTCCAAAATTCCGGTTAATCTATAAATGAGTAAGAATACAAAAATAGCCTTACAGTACTGATTGTGATGAAACTCAAAACTCTTCATTAATACAAGAGAATAAATGAATGAATGAATTAATGAATACAATATATTCAATAATTAACTGTCTGCTAATAATGGAAATATTTAGTGCGTAAATAACTAGTCTATTTTCTTTGATTCTTATTAACTTACAACATTTTTCTGGATAGAGAAAAAAAATAGAACGTGTTTTTCTAAACAATTTTTCTGCTCAAAGTTACCGCAAATATGCTCTTGTAATAACGCAATAAACTTACGCATATATATATATATATACCTTAAAGTACGCGTCTTTGACAATATTAATGTCAAGTTCCCTAACACTCACTAATAAAAGTAAGTATGCATTAGAGTGGTAAGTGTTGTGAGGAGATTAGAAGAAGAATATTGACTATTGTTCCGCTTTCTGCCTCTCTCATCATAAGTAAACACAACATTGAGGCAGACATTCTATTGGATAATGATTTCCATGGTGAAAACAGTACTTTTTATCTTTATATATATATATATATATATTTGAGCTGTTACCAAACAGACAGTAAGCGACATGTTTCAGTACTATACTTGAAGCGAAACAGTAAGTTAGCTCAGACTCAAAGGAGATAGATGAATAAGAGAGGAATATAGAGGAAAACTGAAGGTAGTGAGATTTATTGAGTTGTCATTATAAAAAAAATGATTTGAATAAAGTGTGAAATTTATTAGTTTTTCTCTCTTGTCGTGTTACAACATTTTTAAGAATTTTTATTCATATTTTTTTTCATTGAAATAAACATAAACTTAACGAGGCATAGATTTAAAAAAAAATTAATGTGTGCAGTAAAGAATTTTAGGCAATTGTTTTAAATCGCATAAATGTTGTCAGATAAAGGTGAGAAATTTCATTGTCATGAAACATTGACCTTATTTCAAGGAGTATCTTGTGTTAAATATTCAATATGGGCTAGCGAATTGAACCCTTTAAATCATTTGTTTAAGTCTGAAATAAACCAACCAGATTAGTGAGTTTGTTGAGTGGGTATTGTTGAGAAACATATACCATGATGTCGGTGTTGTAATATTATTCTGTTAAGAAACATACTCCTTTTCTCAACTCATTCCAGTTAACGCACCTGCTATAGTGACCAAAACCATCGTGATTTGATCTGAAGGCTGGAAACCAATTTTTGAGTTCTTCTGTTTAGCTATTCCATATTAGTTTGTTTACTAGATGTATCACACAGTGAAACAGTATTATTTACTGGATGACGTTTCGAACAAAATTTATTGTTCATAATGATGTCATCAATTATAATCACACGACTTCTAAACTTCAGTTTTATAGTTTTCTTTGTTCTCTCCTATTTGTCATCGTAGGGGTAGCAGAATTTTCGAGATATCTGGGGGACAGGTGTTGAATCATTCCTATTACACGTGTTTGCAGTTGATTCGATTAACAAAGCTTCCGTTATCAATATCTCTATCCACTCTGTGACGACCATTGATTGTCAGATCAAATACATACGTTAAACTAGTAGAACAGGGGCAGTCAGACTAGCGGAACATAAAAAACTAGCAAAATCTAGATCGGTTGATCCAAATAAGATAAGAAATCTAGAGAAAATTTCAGTTACACCACGCACTACATGCATTTACACACAACCATACAATAGGACGGGAGGGATAAGATGACATTTTTAAAGTCTAATACCACAGGGTGGAGGGAGAGATTGATAACAGAAGCTTTGTTTATCGAATCAATTGCAAATACATGTAATAGGAATGATTCAACACCTGTCCCAGATATCTCGAAAATTCCACTACCCCTACGACGATTAGGAGAGAATAAAGAAAACTATAAAACTCAAGTTTTGAAGTCGTGTGATTATAATTGATGACATGATTATGAACAATAAATTTTGTTCGAAACGTCATCCAGTAAATAATACTGTTTCATTGTGTGATACATCTAATAAACAAACTAATATGGAATCGCTTACTACCACAGTGCCCAAATTTTACACATATATCAATTCTGTTTAGCTAACCAAAACTTCCTCGATTGACACACAGTCTCAAAGTCCCCGGAATACATTAAAACGATAGTTGTTTCCGATAAAATCTATGGCAGTACTTAGTAACAATAATAACATATCAAAAGTTAAAATTATCTCAAGAATGCTGTTAGGCAGCTGTACGGGTCAACAGTTTCTCCAGTACAAGACAAGCACTGTACAATAACCTCAGTAATCAAAATCAACTGTAGGATGCACCTGAGAATCAATTAGGATATTGCTAACATTGTGGGATCAGAACTCTGTCAGCAAGAAAAGAACACATCAACCACTCCGCGTAAGCAGTCCTAGCTCAAAATCTCCTCGGCACAACCTTGAATTTATTCAAACAAAATTACAATCATAGAACAAGACATTATCAACACCATCATACAATCACAAAAAGAAGCGTCTTAATCGGGGGTTTGACACGAACAGAGTCAATAGGTGATATGCAAGCGATAGAACAATGATTGATATGCAGCCTAGGAGAAAATGAAGTAATAATTACAAAGCTGTTTGAAGCGTCCAAATAAGTACCACTATTGTAAAAAGATTGCTCCAGAGGAATATTCCAAACAATTATTCCGGTCCATAAGTTATTCAGAAGATATCAGTAATGTAAATAAATGACCACTTACTATGAATATCTACAGTAACTGCTGTCGATAAATTACGTTTGAGTACATCGTGATGCACTTGTGTTGCAGCATTAGATACACTGCACATTATTTCATCGCCATCTTCTAAACCAGCTTTCAGTATGCTCAAAGTTGATTGATCTCCATCATTTTCGACACTGATAGTTGGATGCAATTTTCCCCACACTTTAAGTAAATTGTCTAGAAAATGATATAAATCAGAGGAGAGAATTTAACATTAAAATTTGGTTCAAGTTTCTCTCTGATAAATACAGAGAAGCATCTTTTAGAACATTCGGCTTGTATCTCAAAAAAGACAATTTTTAACAAAAATGTGAATATTAAGACTTAAGTCTATTATGAATGTACTCGAAGTATTTATTAGCAAAGACAATGAATTAATGAATAAAATCAAACATTGTGTAAACAGTCAGGACACACGGGACTTTAAGAAACTGCAAATGGGTCGAATGTCTATACGGAAGATAATTTAACCCTTATGTATGATCCACATCCAACTTTAAGCCAGTTACTTTTGAAGAGTTCTACATTATTGACAGATGAACTGTTGATTCATTTGAAAAAAAGAGACCTAGTAATCTTTCATTTTCTTTTGTTTGACAATATCTCTAACCCAAAACGTCATGGATAACACTTGTTCATTACAAGTCTACTTGTTTGTCGCCAATGTCCATGTGTCGTAAGACAGTGTTTTCTCGAATATGTTTTCAAATAATGACGTCAAATCACTCAGTATTCATCAGTTTTTTCCTATTTTACCAGATCTATGTAGTCCGATCTAATCAACCTACGTCTGTGGTAGTAAACTACATACTCAGTTGGTTGAGAACTGAATTTGCATTCTCTGATTCAACTTTTACTGATGAAACACGTCAAAATTTGTCAATGCATACTTCAAACTATAAATTTCACGAACATATAAGACCATATGACTATGATTTATGTGTGCAATTGATAATAATCTTAAAAGTGGATTGAGAATGAATAATATTATTGATTTCTTTCCTCTTATCTACTTGTTATGCAGAAATTCACTTACAATGAAAGTAAACAACTTACTTATTTTTGTTATTTCCCCAGGACTCATTCCTGTTTTTGGTTTTGTCTCTAAATTTGGAATCTCATGACGATTAAGTAACCACTTGAAACTAGGTGCTGGTCGTCCACCAGCAGCAATACAACCAAAGTGATACGGGCAATTGGATCAGGTTGTGATAGTATCAATTTCTTGTCTGGCAACTGAACATTCTGATAGAGAATTTGAGGCTCATTCGGTTTAACTGGATTTATTCATTAGAGTGGTAGAGAAAGAATAGAAGTTAACGTGTTAGTTAATCAGTCTTTGATTACATAACAAATTATTCAAGGCAGTGTAGCTAAGACTAGATACAACTGTTTTACAGGAAAGACATTGACAAAGAAACCATTCAGAAGTCTGGGATTAGCTGACAGACAGAAGCAGAAAATACTGTAAATAAAAAGCGTGACCTATACTGTTTCATCAAAGATATCGAGTGCTTTCGAATGCTGAGTGGGGACCATACTGACTAATCAGTGGTTACTTACTTGGCAGTTTAAACCAAATAAGTGTAGATTTTGCGAAGCACTAAACAAAACTGTTTGTCTTTATTTTTACTATCCAACCAGCTCAAGTAAAAATGCAATCACCTAACTGTTGAAATTGCCATTTCAAAACAATCTGATTTTGAATTTTCGTCTGGTAGAAATGGAGTTTTATTTAACAGTAAAATATCCATTTGTTCATCTTGTCGACTTGTGCAGGTAAACATCTCATTGAGTTTTCACGAGCTTAGAAACTTCTGAATTTGAGAAACGAATTACTATTTTGTATAATGGTGTCTAGGTCAGCGGAGAAGCTGGCTTTATTTTCTGACTACTACAGGTACTAATTGACTTCTATAAAATGTTATACCCGTAGGCTTCTCATTCCATGTAGGATGTAGTAAAAGTGGGTTCGCTACTTTCATCTGATATAATAGAGTGAAACAACTGTCTGTCGTAGATCTGGAAGGTCATGTGATAAACCATTTCTATTATTCTTACGGTATGAATAGTATGCGGTCATCTGGTGGAATGTTGAATCAGTCAGCTGAAAATACCAGATCAATTGCACTGAATAAAAGTTTACTGATAAGTAAGATATCTTCTTAGCAGTTGTGTAAGAAGTTTTTTATCATAATTGAATCACGCAAGTATACCAGTATAATACCGAAGAAGCTCTCATTCCAACAGATTATATCAACTGAAAAACCGATCATATACACTCAGTTTTAATGAAATATCTCAATAGCCCTGCATACACCTGCAATTATTTAATCCTCCTTATCCCTATTGGAACCACACCAAACTCATATTTTACCATTTGACTGTCCCTGAAGAACGTGAGGCGTGATGCCTATTCAACGGTCTTCTCATGGTATGCCTAATCCTTCTTCATTTGTTTATTCATTTGCCTTGAGTAATAGATTCTTGGTTGGTTTGCTGCTTACTAGAGTTACTCGTTGCTTACTCTCCTCTACTGGCTATCTGATCCTCCCTTTCGAGCCAAAGAAGTGAGTGGGTATGGATGACAGTCTCTAGTGACCGAATATAAATGCTTCTCCTGACGCGCCTTGCCTCTAAAATTTATTAAAGCACTGATTTGACATTTGTGTTGTAAAGTTGGATTCTGTTTATTGAGCAGATTGCTATAGATTTCAACATTTATCTCAGAGTGATTGACGTCTATCTAGCTTTTCCAATCCTATCTTTGGAATTCTAATATGTACCACTGCAGTTGAAACGATGTTACTCAGGTTGGGTAAGTAAAAAAACAACTTTCTTGAAATTTCTCCCGTTGATGGTGATCATTAGTTGTTCTTGGTTGTTTACCTTTATCACCTCTGTCTTCTTTATATTCATTTGAACTTCTATCTTCCCTGCCTCTCCTGCCAAATTGTTTGCTTTTTCCTGTTTGTGTGACATCAGGCATACGTCATCCATAGATTCTCGATCCTTCAAAATCTTTCCAGCATGCATGTTTTACAGCCGTCCTATGGTCTACCGCAAGATCTAGTCCACTAAAATTAGCATAATGATCGGTGACAGTGGACAGCCTTGTCATACTTGTATCATCAGTGGCATCCTCATATAGCTGTTTGGGGCATTCCGTAGTGTTAAAGTGACTACCAGACTACTTCGCGGTCAACTCTGTTCAGTTTCCTAATGATATTTACGCAATTAGGGCTTAAAAGGTCTTCAAGTTTAGAAAGTGGCGTTTCGTTTGAGTTCTATGCGGTAAACTGTAGTTTTTTTTCAAAACTCTTTCTTCCTAATCATCGTCATTCTTCAGATTTGTTGATGGTGTAATAACTTGTAGCTAACCCCTACGAAGTAACTGATCTTGAGTTCTGAAATTATTATCATCCTTCATTCAAAACTTAGGTATCTTGTTACTAACACCTACTAGTTACTTGTTTTGGTAACCTTTGTCCTCTTATGTTCCCCTCTCTATGCCTAAAACTAATTATTCTTATGGACTAAAATAACACATGATTAGTAAAGTTTGGATGCAAAAGAAACGATATATTAGTGTAAAACCAATGGCGATGAACTAAGTGAAAATGAATACACTTCTTCGCTCAAATTATCGCTTTTTTCAAAATGTTTAATGCGAATTTTCAATTTACTAAAATTAAATTGACTAACAGTATAAATGTTATTATTATTATTAACAGGTATAATTCTATTAAAAAGCATCCATAACTAGGGGTTCAAACAACTTTTTTTTCTAAAATGGGTTTATGTATATGTTCTTTCGTTGTTATTTTCCACATTGTTTTTTTATTACCAATAATATAAATTGATGAAATACAAAATTATTTAACATTTTGTGATATTAAGTCAATTTTCCGAGTAATGTTTCCTTCAGAAATGTAAACCAAACTAACTGATTTTAACTACGATAACAAGTTGTTTAATGGGGAAAATAGTTTTAATTTTACCACATGACTAGGTATGTTTTCGTTCATTTTTAACAGTTAAAATGATTGAGTTGTTTTTGTTTTATAGCAGTCCACTTATATTTAAACTGTGAGATGGTTAATTACCTATTTGGCTCTACTGCATGAAAATATTCGTAGTTAAATTTTCACAAGAGTATATAATGAATGCGAAGCAATGTATATTAAAAATATTCATTTCTAGATTGTTGGAAGCGACTGGTGGGAAGCCTTGAACCCAGGTTTCGTGCTTTTTGGCATTTGTCAGCGAAGAGTATCACCTTCAGCCATCTAACATAAAAATGTTGCGCTCAAAGACTGCTAGCCGCACACATTGCAATCATGACTGATAGAATTCAGTCAGCACCAACGACAAGAATGGCTGTGTTGAACTTTTAATTGGTATTTAGTGATTGGCGACAACTGAGAGGCCTGTAAAAGAACAGGCGTGGAATTATGCTGTCGTCCACGTTAAGTAAAACACTAAGTTGTATTATCCTGGAGAGAACAAAAGATGCACTGGACACAAAACATCTCCCGGAAAAAGCTGAATTCAGGAAGAGCTAGTGATGTGCTGATTAAATTGCAGCTCCACACATCGTCATCACAGAACAAAGCATAGAATGGCAGCCAAACCTCTACCTCAGTTTCATTGATTTCAAAAAGGCCTTCGACGGACAGCATTGACAGAGAATTAATTCGGAAACCACTTCAACACTACAGCGTGGAGTATCAAAGTCTTTATCAACCTCATACAATAGCTGGCTATATGACAGTGTCACGTGTCAGGTGATCTACAATGGAAAACTCAGCGAAGCGTTCGAAGTGCATACAGAAGTAAGACAAGCCTATTGTCATCTATGGTATTCTTAATTGTGGTGGAATGAATTATGTGTTAGACTGTGGAGAGTGATCTAGATTTCTCAGATGATATATGTCTAATGTCACACAAACTCAAAGACTTGCATGGAGGGGAAAACCAACGAATTGGCTGAAGAAGCGGGCAGAGAAGACAGGACTTCAGTTCAACATAGAAAAGACAGAGATGACGAAGATAACCAACCGATATCAACAGCAACAACAACCAGCACCAATCAACATCAATGGGAAAGGTTTAACAGAGGTGGTTTCCTTCACTTATCTAGGCAGCTAGAATTGTTTCAACTACAGGCCAGCGGAACGAATGAAGATGTGAAGGCCAGTCAGCGAGAATCAGAAAGGCAAGATACGCCCTCATCAGCCTTAAACCAGTTTGGAAATCTGCTGCTGTCACTCAGCCAGCATAATGAACGAAATTTGGATTTTTAATACTAACGTCAGGTCGGTCCTTCTATTAGTGTCAGGAACTTGTAATGCGAGTCACGAAAGTGATTTCCAGTTGGCTACTGCAGACTTTTATTATCATCTGCCTTCTCTAGCTCCATACCGAAGATCAAATAGCCAGCCGGTTAGAAGGAATCAGCAACAAGAAACTGTAGGAACGAACTAACCAAGAATCGATTGCTCAACAAACATTTAGGAGAAAATGGAGATTGGCAGGGTACACACTAATAAACCGTTGAATGACACCGCTTATCACTCGAGTGGAACCGAACAGCAAGCGAAGGGTGGGTCGTCCGTGCAAGGGTTACATGGAGAAGATCATATGCTGTGAAAGAGACAAGAGACTACGGACAATCGTTGACCTAGCTGAAGAGGATGGCAGGAAATAAAAGAAAGTGTAGATGTATCGCTGAAGCTGTATGTTCCACTCAGAACCCAAGGGAAAATTATTATTTGAACCTAGATATCATACTTGCCACCCCTCCAAAAGGACATTATTGTAACGAAACTGAAGATACGCCATACTGACAAATGCCAAAAGGTAGGGAACCTAGGCCTAATGGCTTTTACAGACTGTCTTCAATCAGCTCACATTAAACTTACTTTATATATGGTAGTATTTATAAGCACAGACTTCAAAAGATAACGTCTTCAGTGATATGTGTAGTTATAACTTATTGCTTCTACTATAAATGTGAGACTGTCTGGAGTGGTTAGGGGCAGCAAGTAAAGTACCTCATAGTAAAATATATGGATACTGAAGTAGCTTTATTATTCCTAGAGAATATGATAATGTTAAAATTCATGAATGGTGTTTGAGGTTGTTATTACGACTATGATAATAATTTGTGTAAAGCGTAAAATGCAATCAAACCCGAATTTCAGCCAAGTTTCCCCTTATTTCAATGTCATTTAAAGAAAAATTTAGACATATTTAGAGGAGATTATTCATTTGATCTTTAGCTTATACTTGTTGACAGTACTCACAGAAAAGTGAGGCTGATATCTCGTTAGGTGAAAAACTGCTCTTGCGTTCACGCTAGACTACACTTTAATGCTCTTTTTATTTAAATTACATTCAAACAACATTAAGTGGTTTCCCCATAACACTGTTTGGAAAAACATACTATAGGAAATATGCTACATTTAAAAGCTTATCCTAGGATTATGAATTGGATCGCGAATATGTTAGATTTATTTGTGTGTCAATAAACCTAAATTCAAATTGAAAAGAAATGTTTTAAGTACTACCAAACGCACCTCTTTTGGTGGAACTTTAACTGCAGGTCATCTAAAATCTCGTTTAATATTATTTGTAATTAGCATACACCACAGCGACTTTTCAAAGTCGATTCTTCCCAAAAAATAAAGGAGTTTACTGAATATTACTTTGACTACTTTTGAATCAGATAAACTTCTTATAGCTTGAGGACAATTTTTTTAGGTAACTCTTATAAACGTGCATTCTAATGTCATGTTTTTTTATTACAGCTTGATTCCATACGGTATGTTTTGTACAAGTATAGGATTTTCAGTTTGTGATATCGGTAGCCCAAAGTTTGCAAGCCGACCATTGATATCAGGTGTGCGTCGGCAGCGGATCGAACCCTGAACCATGTGCATGGCCTGCGAGAGTCCTAACAGCTGCGCCACCGAAGCATTGTTGTAATCAGGTGACAATTCTCCTTCGTGCCTGAATGTGTTATCCATCAGGAGAGCTTTTAAATACCCATCGTTATATACTATTGTGGTGAGAGCAGGCTGCTAGCCAATTGGTCGACATTAATCTACGTCAATGTCTAGGTCACTAATATTAGTCGTGAGAAAACATGAACAAGGATGATTCAACAACCAATCACAGCAGACTTAAACGTGGCCAAATATGATTCACAAATAGATGGTTCCACTTTCCGAGAAACTCAAAAACAACCAACCAGAAGACTGCGTTTGTCTGCTTAACTTCCGAGAAACAACCAATTAGAAGACTGCGTTTGTCTACTTGAATAAGCTCTAATAATGTACATAAAATATATATAAATACGTGCTGATTTCCGTAATAAAGTGATCTGTTGCCGGCCCTTGTCTTCTGTTGTTACACTATCAGTATAGACTAACAAATACATTTTATGCACAGTTGAATAACCGTTGTATAACCTGCATGACAATATCGTTTTGTCTTTCATTCATTGGGAAATAGAAAACACCATTATTATAATGAATATCACATACCCAATGCCCACATTTTTTTAAACCTTTAAAAGTGAACTTGGACATATATGAGTAATATAAAAGCTAAAATTTTATTTAATTCTAAAAACACATTATGAATTTTTATCTTATCAATAAACAACTTACTGAGAACTTCAAGATATGTTTTTCTTCTTAACAAGGGATGATTATTAACTGGTACTGGAGTAACTTGACACTCATATTCTCCAGCATCATCACGTTGAACATCTATTATTTGTAGTGTATGCTCTCCTCGTCCAACGTCACCAATTATTCTGAATCTAGAATAACCTGGAATAGATCGGTCGTAACCTAAAGACAAAAAAATTAAAATGTTTGTTATGTAAACTGCAACATTCAGATAGTTTGAGATGATAAAGAAAGCTGTATACATCGATGACAATTATTTTTGTGATAGTCCGTATGCAAGGAAACTTACTTACCTTATGCTCTTATAACCAATAGAACTTTTACAGGAAGCATGTTCATGCAATTGTTGGGTATCAGTGTTTAAGTGACTTTGTTGAAGTCATCAAAGCATTCACCCGTTATAATGATGAGCTTTGCTCTTCAGAAAATATCGTCTAAACACCGAATAAAGGGCGATAACATACTAAATTATCTTTTATCCTAACTTACTTGTCTGGACGAAGCCACAGAGTTGACATGAAACAAATTTACTCCTCTAACTCAAGTATTCATCTTCAAGAGAAGTTAGAAGTCTAACAGAACACTGTGGACTATTTTGATTGGACACTAGTAACTAGTGTGACGTGTCTAGTCCTTTCTTTGGTGCAGACTGAATTCTATCAGTCAGGACTAGACACGTCACACTAGTTACTAGTGTCCAATCAAAATACCCACTACAGTCCTACAGGAGGTCAATCGCGAGCCCGAATAGCTTAGCGGTAACGTCTCTGACTGTAGTATTCACGGGGTGACGCGGGTTCGAATCTCAGAAGAAACATGAGTTCCTTCAAGGTTGCAGATACGCCTTGCTGACTGGTAAATGCCAACTAGCACGAAACCTAGTTCCAAGGCTTCCTTCCGATTGCCTCCAACTATCTAATATCACACTGTGACTTCAATGTAGTGAATATCATTTTGTAAGTTTTAACAAGAGAACAAATTACTATTGCAAAAACAGGTTATGTTATAAGTTCTATTAGATTTGTGAAACTCTGTAACCCAACTAAATCAACGTAGTGATACGGAAGATAACTCAGAAACGGATGAAATGACGGTAAAATAACTAATTGGCATGCTGTTTTTCGGAGCTGAAATCAAATGACTGCATATATTTGTAGTTGGCGTTTATTCGCATAACGAATAAGTTTAGTATGGTGCATGGGATTACTGCATTTTGAAGAATTTCAATACAGTAACTCCCATTTAATAAATTAAATGAGGCATTGTAAATACATATATTGCAAAAGGACATCATTGCATAGTTTCATTACAATCTCTCAATAACTAGCATAGTTCACAATAATAAAATAAAATGTATGATAATTCACCAGTCATCTAAGATTATATTAAAAATTATATTCAAAGTATATTCACAACTAGTCGTATATCAGTAATTCTGGCAGTTCACAGCAAGCAAAGGTTGAGGTCATTTGTTTCGGATGTATACAATTAATCCAAAGTGCTTCGATCACCCTTAATAGTCCTGAACTACCTGAGAAAAAGTCATTCATGATAATGTTGTGACCACGCATTTGGCTGATAGTGGATTTCTATTCAGATTAAGTACATTTGGATATTCTATGTTGTTTAATAACCATTCAGGAGCGTGTTTTTCCGACGGCATTTTAGCAGCCCTATAAACGATCTGGTACCGCAGAAAGTGGATAGACTTCGATCTTCCTCTGTGTCATATGGCCATGAGCTTATAGCCTATGCCTTATAAATCTTATTCATTGCCTTAACACAGTACAAGTTTCCTCGCGAAGGTGGAAGTATAAATACGAACGTCTGGTGCTTATAAATGAACCCTAGGACATGCACATCTATCGAAGTGAGATAAACAACCCTGATTGCGACACTGTGGTTTACATGGGCTGCAGAATATAAAAGGACCGAGTGGTTCATGAACATGTTGTGGTCACCAGCAACCATTGGAATGTATTTCCTGATGCACTCAGGCCTATAAGCCATCTTAGTTGCATGATCTGTTCATCTTTGAATGGTAGTTTAATAAAGATAGTTTTCTTCGGTAAGAAAGCTGTCATCTAACAATATTTATCTTCTGACTGCCTTATTTAAATGTAACAAAATTCTAAGGAAACTACAGATAAACTTCCTCACTAAATGTCACAATAAGCACCAGTGATACTTCTTATCCTTTGTAGAAAATTACTTCTTTTTATTTACATGTTATAGAAAGCTGTCATTTTAGACTGCTGATATGATATGATTCATCGGTCATGATCCCTAGTGTTAATCCAATTCACGCTTAACTGCTAATCTGTTAGCATGCAGACCATAACTAGTTCTGATAGCAAGAGAATGTGATGCTGTTTACCTAATTTTAGGATGGATTTCCGCTAGAAGTGTTAGCTTGAGTAAACAAAAAATGTAATCTCCACTTTATAACAAAAAAAAATAATATCATGTTTATGCACATATATGTATACATAAATACAAATCTAAATCTAATGTTTTATTCGAATGATGCATAAATAATAAAAATACATACTAATGTGTTTTCAGCATCTCTGTTGAGTCCACTTATTGTCTGAGCTTTAAATAAATACACACACACAAATCTCTTGATTACTTTTTCTATCACGATTTCACTTAATTCATTCTATTTGCTACGTGATATTTTAGACGTGATCAATGAAGCAAGTATTAATGACCAGGATAATTCGCTTGAATAATTCTCCTTGCTTTATTCTGAGTCACTTCAACACCCATTTATAGGGTGTGTGTATATGTAAACAATCCTAAAAATTCACTTGCAGAATAGCTTAAATAGATTTAATTTGCATAATAACCAGATAGATATATGTATATATCAAATTACATGAATAGATATAAATTCAGATCGAAGAATGGAACAGTTGAAATGATTATACATGTTTATGTATATAACTTTTAATTGTATCCATTTATTCCCTTGAGAGCCATTAGATTACACTATTATTTAACTGATAAATAATAATAATAACAGTATCTGCTTTCTTATATCACTCAGATAAGAAATCATGAATACTGAAGTTTCACTTTAAGTTTTGTCACAGTCTTCAGTGAGTTAAACTGTGAATTAGTGAGTACTGGCAGTAATTAGGTGACCAAAGCTGGTGAATTCATTATTACTATTATTATTACTCCTTTAGGTTTCGAGTGGAGAGCTTAGGACTTCACTGGCAAATATTCATTTCATCGTGTTTTCTGTAGTTGTCTTTAGCTAGCTTTACGATTGTCTTTAATCTCTCATCTCCTTTTCACACCGTCTCCATTATGTCGCATTCGAATACACACATACAACTCCTTGTTTTATAGTCAGGTTCTACTCGATGGCTTGGTGCGCGTTTCCATTCAGCAGTCTCTTCTGCGTGTGTCTGGTCAATCTCATGTTTTGTATACATGTTTGTTAGTCAATTAGTTACTAGATTGTTCGTCCTTAGAATTACTTGTTGCTTATCATTCCTGGCTACCTGAATCTCAGTATGGAGAAAACGTAGATGTCGCTAAAAGAGTGAAGCCTCTCCGAAAGGCTTTTCATAACATGTCAGGTCTCTGAATCATATAAAAGTGTTGATTTAACATTAGTGTTCCAAATACGAACCTTGTCCTTTATGCTAATTAGGGCTGATTTCCTTATTGATTTAGGTTTAATGAATGCTCCTTTTGACTTTCCGATCTTGGCTTTGGCAACTTTATCCTGATGCCTTTAATTGGAACGATTCCGTTCAAGTAAGTAAAAGAAGTGATCTGGTTAAAATTCCCTCTGTTAATAGTGATTGGTTCTTTTTGTTGTTGGTAAGCTATTTTCATAACCTCCGTCTTCTGAATGTTCACTTGAATTCCTGTCTTTGCTGCTTCTTCTTCCACCTTATTGGTCTTCGCATGGAGATACTTTGTGTGGAGTTGGATATTATTCATCCATGAAGTCTAAATCTAGAGTTTTCTTGTCGATCCTATATATGCTTGTCTCCTCGCTCTTTACTATTTGCTGCATGACCAAGTGCACTTAAATCAGGAATAGAATCGGCGATGTTATGCAGCCTGGTGTTACTCCTGTTCTCATTTTGAAGGCTTAGTTGAGCTTTCCACTGCTAATCACTTGACATATGACGTCTTGATATAGTCGCTAAATGAAATGGTGAATCCAAACAGTTGTATACTATTTGACAGTGAGGATATGACTGTATTCTTGTATCATCAATATGTTTCTGTGAATTTCAAATTTTCCAGCTAACCAGTGATTCCTGTGACATTAGATGGTCGGAGCTGATCAACAGGAAGCAGTAGACCTAGCTTTTGAACAAGTCAACACTCATTAGAAATCTAAATCTACAACCTTGAAGGAACTCATGTCTGTTTTGAGAATTGAACTTGCGTCACTCAGTGATGCAGTTAGAGAAATTACCACTGAGATCTTCCGGCTCCTGATTGACCTCCTCAAGGATGGTATTGCATATTCTGATTGCACACTAGTTGCTAACTAGTACCATATGTCTAGTTCTTTGTTTTGGTGTAGACCATCTAGAATGGTGTCCACAATGCGAAATTCACTGGTGGAATTCAGTCTACACCAAACAAAGGATTAGACACATTATACTAGTTACTAACTTGTGTCCAATTAAAATTAGTGAGCGGTTAATGTTTGAAATATACCATACTGCCTATTAGTTTCCAGTTAGATAAATATACGACCAACAAGGTTTTTTTCTGCAAAGCATATTAGTGAAAATCGATAGCACTAGCAAAAGACAAATTAAACCTGCGCTTTAGTAATTAAGTTTTATGATATACTCCCTTTCAGATGATAAAGGATGGAAAATTCAGACATGAAACACAGCAGGCTTTTTGTTCAGAAACTTCATTTTTTATTACCAAAAAATTATTGGATGACTTTATATAAATAAACATCCTAATATCGCCAGTCACTGATTAACTAAGCTATGACATAAGACGTGGAATTCTGTTTGTCCTGAATTCACTGGAATATGAAGTAAATACGGTGTTGTTGACAGTATAGGATGTTTGTTGCTTTTCACTTCTAACTGCATGGATTGTGACTAAAACTAAAGTTTTCGTATAGTCAGAAAGCAGTAAATCTTCACTCCTCTATATAACTG